TGATTGAGTCATGGAGTTGCCAGATTCATCAGTGGATTCATCCTTTGATGAGTTCAGTAGCTCAGTGTGTTGTTAGGAGGTGGGCCTGGTTGGAGATGAGTCAGTAAGGGTGTGACCTGGAAGGGTCCTCCTGCCTTCTCTCTCTGCTTCCTGGCAACCTTGACATGAACAACTTTCATCTGCCATGCCCTTCCACCATGTTCTTCTACCATGCCTTTTCTGCCTTGCATCCAGCCACACATGGACTGAACCTACTGAAACTGTAAGTCAAAATAGACATCTTCTCCTACAACTTACAGATGTTGGGTGTTTTGTCCCAGGGATGGGAAAATAGCTAATATAGACAGTCATATTCTAATGAATGGCAAAAAAGCATGTCTTTTGTCCTTAGTGTGCAAATACCAAGGAATCACTATTTTTAAAGGCACAAAAATGAACATGTTATAATCTCTAATGAACTTGAAGGGCTTACATTTTAGTAAAGCAAATTAGACATGTATGCATCTTTCAGAATTGTAATTTCTTCAATTTAGACTTCCAGTAGTCATGATGTAAAGCAGCTACTCAAGACTGAATGTAATGTGATCAAAGGAGACTGCTTCCATTGTATACTAGCGACATAAAACTGGGAAGCTACAAGGCTGACAGGAAAGGGGTTTTGTTTTTATTGGAGACTAGATAGAGGTCCAGAAGGAGATAAAACTCTTTGGTATATTGTATTTGTGTAGGAACATGGAAGGTTGTGTTCCTTAGTTGTAAGCAATACAACTATACTCCATTTAACTTAGAAAAGCAAAGAGATTATTGAAAGATGGGCAATACTTCTTGGGCTTGAAGAAAGAACTGGATAACTAGCTTTCTAGAAGGAAACATATGAACACCATTCTGGAAACCAGAGCAAGAGAAATGAACAGATCATTATGTGCCAAAACCTGAGCTCAAAGTTACTCCCACGAGAACTCCAAAGTCAGTGAAGCTTTGCAGGCTAAAGTCACAGTCACCCACCTCAGTGGAAGACAGGGATTTGTAACATCTGAGTGGCTCTTTTGAGGCATTCAGTAAAAGACTGGAATGAAGAAATAAATGAATCGAGTTGCTAGAGAAATTAAATGGCATATAATATCTTTGCCAATATTACCAGAATTCTTTCATAGATTAAGGTGAAACTTTCTGGACATTTTACTCTACTTGGTATAGTGGGTAAAATCTATTTCTGTCTAATTGGGATGGTGAGAATGCTGTAGGTAACTGTCTTACTTGGATTCAAAAATCCCCCTGGTCCTCACCAAACCAGAGGAAAATAAACTCTGAAGAAGCATCTGTGTATCACAGTGGTTTTTCACTGATGGGAGTATTATGGGATGTTGAGGGGTGCCAGAGAGGATGCAATAATGTTCCTCTGGATATAGAACACTTGAGATTTGACAGTTTCACATTTTTCTTTATTTCTGTTAAGTCAGGATCCTGACAAGGCTATATTTTGCTACCCACTCTTGCTGTTTTCTTGTAAATGGCAGTGAAAGAAAGAGGGGATACAGAGACACCTTATTAATCAACTCAGCTACAATTTTATAGCACTATGCCCAGCAGGACACAGTGAACTATCAGTGTCAGTCAGGAAAACACACTACTCTAGCGAATTAAACATGGTTAAAACTCAACAGGTGGACAGAGGCCAGACCTCAGTCTGGCAGGCACTGTGCCCTTGAGCTTGTCTGGACAGCACTGAAGCCATGAAACTGACCACCCTATTCATCCACTGGGAAGGTTTCATACCTTCAGGCTAATTTTAGTATTTTCTTTCCTTCTTCTTTTTTTTGGCGATGGGCAGGCATTATGAACATCTAAGCATCAGTTTCTTTTTCCCTATGTTTGCAGAACACATCAGCCCAAAATTAGTGGCTTAAAACAGCTATTTATTTGTCTTTTACAATTTCCTGGGTGGGGTGGGCTCAGCACAGTGGCTTTCACCTAGAGTCCTTCAATCAGTTCAGTCAGATATTGGTTGTGGTTGGAGTCTTTGGAAGGTTCCCTAGGGATGGATCTCTAAAATAGGGTGTCAGCCAGCTCGCTGTGACAAAGTACCTAAGAAAGTCCCCTTTACAGAGGAATGGTTTATTTTGCCTGATGGTTTAAGTCCCAGGTCCCTTGGTGTTTTGTTTCTTGGTCCACAGTGAGGCAGAACATCATGGCAGAAGGGTACAGATGAGGAAATATCACCTCATGACAGGCAGCAAGCAGAGAAAGTGGGAGAGAGCCCAGGTTGATAGGCTTCTTTCATCTTCCTCTTCTTCCATCTGGGTCCCTGGCTATTGGACGGTGCCACCCACAACAGGACCTGTCTCACCCTCATTTTCCTGTCCCACATAACAATCATCTCTGGATGACATGGGCACACCCAGAGTGTACTCTCACTTCCCAGGCTTTTAAATGCATTCAAGTTGAGAATCAAGACTGACCGTCAAAGGTGGGTTCTTTGCTTTCTTGGCTGGTGTCTCCAAGGAGTTAGCTGGCCTACGTGAGCCTATCTTTCTAGGAGGCCTTTCCATGGGATTGGCAGCTTCCTCAGGACATGGCAGCTCCGGGCTCCTGCAAGTTTCCAAGACCCTCCCGTAGAAACCACGGTGCTGCTGCTGCTTCTCTTTTGCTTCCTCCTCTTCCTTTTTCTCCTCTTGCTCTTCCTGTCCACCTCCTTCTCCTCTTCCTTCCTTTTTTGTAGTACAGGAGAGTGCAGGTACTATAGTGCAAGGACATTTGCACTGAGCCACATTCCCAGCCCTTTACTTTTTATTTTTCATTTTGAAACAAGGTTTCTTTAAGATGCTGAATTGCTCAGGCTGAGCATGAATTTATGATTTTCCCCTCTCAGCCTCCCACAGTGCTGGGATTACAGGGCCACAGTGCTTCTTACGCTTCTTACGGCTTAGGCTCAGAGGCTGTAAGTCACTTCTTAGTTGAAAGGAAGTGACAGGGCCAGCTGTGCTCAGGAGTGATGATCCCACAAGGGCGTGGGTACCAGGCGGTTTGCTCATTAGGGAGTCCTTTTGGAGGCGGGGTGTGCTAAGCCTCTTCTGTGTGCAGTCTCCCTGCACATGGTCTTTCTTTGCACGCTCTGCACCATCCTCCTAATGCTTCACGGTTGCCCTGTTCGTGGGATCCTCGTGCTATCTGCCTCCCTCAGTCACATCAGTCTCCCAGCCCTGCTCCTCGGCCTGGGTAACCAGCATGCAGATGCCACAGACACAACACTCTTTCCAGGGGTAGACCATGGCCGCCCAGGCCAGATCTGCTCTTTTCTCAAAAACTCTTAAAGAGGTAGATTCCTTCTTTCCATGACACCAACAGCATTTGTATAGGTTGAGTATCCTTTTTCCAAAGTGCCTGGGATGAGAAATGTTTCAGATGTCGGTTTTTTCAGAACTGGGAATATTTGTGTATGCATAATAAGATACCTTGAGGATGGGATCCAAGTCTAAACATGAAATTCTTTTTTTTTTCTTTTTGGCTTTTTTCTGGTACTGGGAATCAAACTCACGACCTTTCACTTGCCAGGCAGGTACTGTGCCGCTGAGCTAAGTCCCCAGCCCCTCTAAACATGCAGTTCTTTACTCCTTCATATACACTTTATGCCCAGAGCTTGAAGGCAATTTTATGTGATATTTTTAGGGCACCAACATTTTGACTGTGATCTGCCATGGAAGGTTTGGTGTAGAAATTCTCTCTCTCTCTCTCTCTCTGTCTCTCTCTTCCCCCCTTTCATCCTCCCTGTTGTTATTTGAGACAGGGTCTTTCTCTGTTGCTAGGCTGGTCTTGAACTTACAATATAGCCCAGGCTGGCCTCAGATTTGCAGTGATCCTTCTGCCTCAGCCTCCTGAGTTCCAGGATGACAGATGTGCCCCACCATGCCTGGCCCAAAGCTGTGAAAATTTCTGCTTGTGTCATTATATCAGTACTTTAAAATGTCCATATTTTGGAACCTTTTTTAATTTCAGAATTTTGACTTAAGTGTGCTCACCTGTACTTGTCTCAGCCACAACATACTTTGTTACTGGATGACTGCTCCACATGGCAGTTCAAAAGACTAGAACCATGTTCTGTGTGCCCCATTTAAACCAACACTGTGTCCTCTACACTTCTCACTAAGCAGTTGCTCAGAGATCTTTGTTAAAATGAATGAATGAGTGAATGAATGAACGTCCCCATATTATATTTGGTCTTTCTTTGTTTAAGATGGTTTGCTTATTCTACTGGAAGCAATCTTCTATTGGAAGAGAGATTTGCCCGAATCCAGGGAATCTGGAGCTTTTTAAGGGGTTGAGACAGGAGAGACCATCCGGTGAGATTTTTCGGAGATGCTCCCTCCTTCCTGGGATGCAAAGGGGGGTGAGGCATTTTGAACTCCAGTAGGATTCCTGTAGACTGGGGATGGAGGAACAGACCAGTGAGTGTTTTCTTGCCTGAGCCAACAGCTGAGCACAGTTGTCCCATTTGGTGGCTGCGCAGGGGATCTGGACAGGAAAGAGGCAGTTGGCTTTGGCAGGTGGCAGGTGGCAGGTGGGATATTTAAGCAGCAAAGCTGGTGTGAGTCTGCCCAGAAGCACGCCTGGATTCCTAGCACATGTCTGGGGGCTCAGACATGAAAATTTGAAAGCCAAGAGGTGTCTTATGGGGAGCACAGCAGTAACCAAGTGTTTCCACTTTCTCTATCTTTTTGAGGTCACACCGTCCTTTATTAACCAAGTGATGAATGCTCCCTGTCTTGCTGTTTAGGGTAAGTCTTGTATTTCCCTTACTTCTCCAAAGGGCACGCTACATAGCACCTGAATGTGATGCTCTTTCCCTTGAACGCTATTGGTTGTCACAGGCTCTGTCCCCTCCTCATGATTTCACACCATGTGATCCAGCAATCCCACCACTGGAATAGCCAATGGAAAGGAAATCAGTATCTTGAAGAGATATATGCAAGCCCACATTCACTGTGGCACCCCTCATGATGACCAATACATGGGATGAACCTAATGTCAGTCAACATGTGAATGGATAAAGAAAATGTGTAACATGCACACAATGGAATACTAGTCAGCCACAAAACGGATGGGACACGGTCATTTGCGGCAACTTTGATGCAGCTGGGTGACATTATTTTAGGTAAGCCAAGCACAAAAAGATAAACTCTAATCATAAATAGAATGGAGAAAGCTGATCTCATAGGAGAGAGCAGAACTGTGGTTACCAGGGGCTTGGGTGGTAGGGGCAAGAGTGGAATGAGGAGATGTTGGTCAAAGGATATATAATTATACTTAGATTAAAAGAATTTTTAAAAAATGTCCAGGCAAATGTATGGAGAGAGAAAGTAGGTAAATGTCTGTAGCCGGGGTTGGGGGAGAGGCGATTGGTGGGAGGCTGAGATAAATGGGGAATGATTACCAGTGGTTATGGTGTTTCTTTTGCGGGTGATGTAAATGCTCTGAAATAGGTTGTGGTGCCAGCTACACAGCTCTAGACCTACGAAAACCATTGACTGCACACTTTAAATGGGCAAATTTTGGATATGTGAATTATACCTCATGAAGTTGACAAAATATGGGTGGAATCATTTCCTGTTATGTTTGGGGTCTTAAATGTCCTCCAAAGGCCCAGGTGTTGGTATAATTCACGTATCTACAATTTGTCAAATCTTTTCCTTCTATATTGATTTTCTCAGACATTTTGTCACAGTGATAGGAAGCTGACTCATACACTCCTCCTCACCTCCAAATGAGGAGATGTTGGTCCTCCACCAAAGCACAGCCCACTTCACTGAAGAATGTGGGGCTGGGGAGCAAGGGAAGTTGTAACACTGAGGAGAAAATAATTTAAAAATTAACAGCAGGTATTTTGGCTCCCTGGCTCCTGAAATGTATTGACCAGCTCTCACTGTCTCTGTCATGTTTTGCTTTTTGAGCCAGGGTCTCTCAGGCTGGCCTTGAATTTGCTGTGATCCTCCTGCCTCAGTGTCCCAAGTGCTGGGATTACAGGTGTGCATCACCAAACCTGGACTCAATTCTCTTTCCTAAATGTAAATAGTTAAACAGTTTTTTCCCCTTAACTGATGTCAGGGCTATGAATTTCTCTTTAAGAAAAGTACAGTTTTCTTCCTTCCTTCCTTCCTTCCTTCCTTCCTT